CACAACAATAATTACAACAACAACAACAACTAACACATTACCAACAACTATAACAACAAACAATGTCATGTATATTTTATTATTTATGGTAACTAATGAGCTGGAGAGATGGAACAACAAGCCTGTCTGGAAACTTCCGAGAGGAAATAGTAGTTTTCTACCTATAGATTATAGTCTGCTTAACATAGTTCTAATTATAGTTACTGTTATTTTCTTTTCAATTTTTTATACTTAAAAAATTAAAAGAATTTGCAAAATTTCCTGGGATGGTAGGTATAGCCGCTACTCAACCTTATCTAGCATATTAATATTGATTTTGAATTTTTTTACATTAGTTAGATATTGTAAAAGTAGGCAAGCTAGTATTTAACTTGTTATATGCAATGCATCCAAGAGATGTTGTTTCTTTTACGATGTATACCTTGTTATATACAATATTAAATAAAGAAATAATGTTTATCTACTAGGAAAACCTCTCCAAAAAAAGATATCCAATTCCATATAAACAAAAAATTGAATACTATATTACAAATAAAGTTTATAAAAAAAAATAAAGAATATTAATTTTTATTCCTATTTGAAATTATATGTTTTGTCATATTAATATTGCTATAGTATTTTATTAATCTGTATCTTCTAACTATATAAGAAATATCATTTGATTTTTTGTTATTAAGGAACCAATACAAACTTCAATAATACTTTCAATTTGCTATTTAAGAAAACTTATTTAAAAGTAAAGGATGTTGTTTTTAATCTTATAACTTCTTTATTAATAAAAACTATTTCTTTATATATAATATTGCTAATTTATATATTTTTAAGTATTTTTAATAGAAGTTTTCTTTTAAAAAAAAAAAAACTTTCTAAAAAAAATTTTTTTAAGGAATATATGATAAATAAGAAAGTGCTTTTTTTTTTTTATATAAAATTTAAGGAATTAATTTCCTAGTTATAACCTTTGATAATATATATATTTGATAATTAGGCAACTAATACTTATTAACTCTATATATTGTTTTTAACTTTTAGATTCTTAAAGTTCAAACCAATCAAAGGATATTTATAATATATGTAATACTTTAGTAATAATTATCATTTGTTAATAATTGATTTACTAAAATAAGTTCATTACTTGTTACTATTATCTCCCAACTTTATTTCATTACTATATATGGTAAGTATATCGATATAAAAGATAATTTTACTATAACGATTCCTGCATGAAATATTTTAAACTTTGTGTCTGACACAAAAATTGGTGAAAAATGTCACAAAGTAATTTGATTGGCTAAAACATTTTATATGATATGTGCTGTGTTGCATTGTGTCATATAAACTAATTAATATATATACGTAACTGATCTAGTTGATATGATCTTTTCACGTATTGTATATATAATAAGATTCTTATATATACAGGTGCTTTTATACTTTTATCTATTATTATTTGTATAATAAATCCAATTAATCTTTAAAAACCATAGCAGAATATGCACACTCTTGCTGTTAGTTATTTACTTTTAATAATCTAGCCAAATAACTTGATCCCAAAACTATATAAGACCTTTACTTTATAGTTTGACAAAAAGAAATAAGACATTAAGGTACAGAGGAGTATTCAAAAATTGAATATGATTTTCATAATAAAAAAAATTTTGTAACAAAAATTTTTATTTTTAAATAATTTATCAATAGATTGCATGTTCTTTTTTTTTAATTATTTTTTTAATATGATCTGGTATAAAGTCAATAAAATCATAAATTTTATTAGACTTAATACTATTTCAAATCGCAGTAATAACCTCTTTTAATTCAAATTGAGTTCACAAATTTTGTCAATTCTTGTAAATCCAATTTTTGACTTCTCTCCATATATTTCAATTAGACTCAAGTTGGAAGATTAGGAAGGCCATTTCATGAATACAATATCAAGCTATAATTTAATTTCTTTTATGAGTTTATATATATGAATAGAGGCATTATCTTCTTGTATTTTTAAATTTATTGACAATAAAATAAAAAATAGAAAAACTAATAAAGAGATTTCTTGAGATTTCTTAATTATTGTGAAGATGATATAAAAACTACTGCTGATGCTTTGAAAGTTGATATTGCTGAAACAAAAAAAATAAAAAAAAAATTCATAAAAATTTTGTAAGTCTAAATTTTACATGTTTTTTTCAAACCTGTATTAATTTAATTATTTTAACTGGGACAGTTATTAATTAGATTTTTATTTATAAGGAATTACTTATTACTGGCAATATTATAAATATATAAAAGCTAACATATATTTTTTTTTATTAAGAAGAGTCTAATGTAAAACTTAAAAAATAATCCATTTATTCTAGTTATTTTTTTTCTAATAACTGTTCAAGCAATAGCAAAAAGATTTTTAAAATCTATACATTTCAAGTGATGTTTAATAAAGAACTAAAGAATTTGTAATACTTAATCACATGAAAGTTCTGCAGCCAGATATATAGATTTGCCTCCAAGTCATAAATAGGATTTGATATATTTAACTTGATATACAATAAACAGAGTGAAAGAGAAGAAAGTTGGTTTTTTACACATAAAGATATTGTAGTCACTTTTTACTGATTGGCCTCCAAGTTATATAAAGAGTTTGATATATTTATTTTCAAGTGTGACAAAAGTGTCCAATAGATAAAGTTAAGCTGAAATTTCTTAAAAACATTATTACTTAATTATATACATAGACTGATATTGTCAAAAAGTAAGTAAGAAACTTCTATTGTTGATACTAGCTCTGTTTATGAAAATAACTAGAATCTCTAACTGTTACATGTTATCTTATTAAATATCCTAGATATCAATATATCTCTTATAGAATTCTATACTGGTATTAACCATCATATAATTGAATATAGTGAAGTACAACTTTCTGAAAATTCAAATAACAATAGTTGTATAGTGGCTTTTTAAATATATCTAGTCTAACCATTAACAAATAAACAATACTGAATATGGTAATAATAACTATACTGATTTTTTGAAAAGAGTAAATTATCTATTCTTTTTTTAAAAAATCATAAAAGTGAAAATTTTTTTAAAATCTATAATATGAAAAAAGTTATTACTTTTTAATATAATTCTTGAGAGAAGAGAATCATCTGGTCAGAAAGGTAATGAGATAAAGGATCATAGTTTTAAGAAAGAAAAAGGTCTAGAAAGAAAAAACTTTAGAGAGAAAAAAAAATCTAATTTTAGCAAGTAAGAAGAAAAAAAGAGAAAGAAAAATATATATTAAAAAAAAGTTTGTAGAAAAAATAAAAAAAGCAAAGAAAAAAAAAATAAAAAATATAATAAAAAAATAAAATAGTATTAGAAAAAGTAAAAAAGTAAAAAAAAATAACTTAAAAATTTCCTAAAAAGAAAATTTTCAAGTACAGTTTGGGACAAAAAAACTGGCACTTAATTTTTTTTATTAAATAATTTTTAAAAAAAAACCATATTTAAAAATTATTAAATATGATGCCAGAAGTCTAGACTCAAAAATTTGTTTCAAATTTTTGTATGCCAGTATATCACATAAATGGTCATGTGATCCAACATGATTGGGTCAGTACTGATTTTGAAGTGAATCTGCTACATGTACACATATGGTCGATCATGTGATATACGTATATACATCACCATAATTAAAGTTATCATTAAATCATTGCATCACTACATAACTAAAACAATATTTATTTGTTACTTTGTTTATTTCCCTCTATCTTCACTTTTCCATATTCAATTTCTATTATTCTTTCAATATTTTCTGATAATCGTCTATGTGATTTAAATTTACTTACAGCCCACTCGAAAACTTTACCCTCTAACCCTTTATTGTATACATCCATATACCTCCACAATCTGCATGTGAATTTCCGGACTGTAGTTATAGGAACACTATTGAGAACTTTGGGAATTTGACTCAATAAATGTGTATAATTATAATTACATTGGCGTCTAGTTTCTTGCTTCAAAAAATCCCAATATTACTCTATGAAGTTGCATTTACAATAAAATTTTGGGTAACGTTTAAAGACATGTTCCGCACTTACAGTTGCTTCATGCAACATTGATTGCTGTTCATAAAAATCAGGTTGAAAAGACAAAATTTTTTGCATACAACAATTCAATCTTGTCAAATCATCATATTTCTTTGAACATTCCTTACACACTAAATGAATTTTCTTTGATGGTCATAAGTTACATTTCGTAAGTACTTTTTCGATCAGATAATTACCAGGAAATATCATTGATTGCATATGTCTTTTGCTACTTTTGTTGACATACCAACCATCGCATATCTTAGGTTGTGTACCTCCAGAACTCAAATTCATTTTCGTCACAATTAGGGTATCATTTGTCATAGTATTGTGGTTGGTGGATTAATCAAAACAAAAAATGCCAATACATCCAAGGTGTAATACTTCGAATATTGGTATTGCTTGATGTACGAGCTAAATATAATTAGGTTTGATTAAAATTTAAAATAAATTAAAAAAAAAGCCCAAACCTGGTCTAACATATGTTCTGATCTCCAATATCCATCTTCTTAAACAGAACGAAGAACAAAACTTTTCTGATATTTAATGCAGGTTGACTTGCAATTAATGTTTGAATAGTCGCAATAAACCGTAACATGGGCATAAAAAAGCGGAAACTATAATGGATCATCCTAAATGTTTTAAGCGTAGGATATTCTCTTCTTCTTGGATTCAAATTCTCCATTGACTATCATTTATATAAAAGTGACATTCATTATGTGTTACTTGGACAAACTCCTTTTTTCCTGGTTCGAGCTGGAGTTCTACTATAATATCTAATTTATTACTATTGAAATCTTTCATACTTTTCTTATACACAAATATTCGCTTTAGCCATTCTTTCCTATATGTCACAACATTGGGTCACTCATGCCTATCATAATAAATACTCTTTCCTTTTTTATTATACCTGTATTCCTAAGAATGCATATAATTTCAACATGTCTTCTTAGAGATAGTATCTTTCTTGATATAACCTGTCAATTTCAGAAATAATGTGTCTTCGATATATGCTTTTAAGTTTCTCGAGGAATATATTTTCAGCTTTTGTTGCCATATCCATGCCTTGCAACCTTCAGCAAAATCTTCATCATCTAATAAACTTTGAAGTTTTATGTGTTTTCCTTGATGATAGATGAGAAGTGTTCTGGTCTGTATAAAATGACTTTCCCACTTTTGGATACACGTAGCCATGTAATCTCATTTGTGCCATATTGTTTGAGTGATTTGGCGACTAACATCCATCTTAGTTTATCTATTCAATAATAACTGTATAAATTGGTAAATACTGAGAAAGTGTAAATAGTCATATGTGAAGATTTTATTGTTTTTTTTTATGGATTTTCTTATTGAACATTGTTGGTTAAGTTCTTCAAGACGAGTGAATAATAATAAAAACAGACAATAATGTAATAGGCGAGAATGTGATAGGCAAGAATGTGATAGATGAAGATACTGTATAGGTAAAACTATTTGAAAAAACATATTAATCGGTTTCATTTCTTTAACATGTTCTACATGCTTTTTTTTTTTTTTATCATATCTTCACAATATTGTTCTCGAGTTTCTGATATATGTGGTTCTAAAATTACTTCTAGCATTATTATTCCAGATGAGAAACCTTTTTCCTATGTCTTCAAATTCTCTCAAGTCTTTATTCATCCATTCTTCAGAAACTTTTTGGATATTAGTGGCTGCCTCCGTAATATAAAAGTCTCCTTTATCATATGAGTTAGTGGTATCAATGGTTGTTTTTACGATAGTTTGGTTTTTATCACTGATGCCTACAACTACTTTTGTAGCTGCAACTATTCCCATGGTAATTCGATGTTTATTATTGGTCACAGTAGTTAGTCCCACAGTAATTTAATTTTTATTGTTAACGACAATAGCTTCCCCAGCGACAACAACTCCTTCTGTGACAACAACTTCTCCAACGATAACAGCTTTTTTCGTGACAACTTGATATTCCTTATTAATCATAGTGTTGATGGTAGTCTCCATAACAATTTGATGTTCTTTCTAAGAAACATATCAATTCTTCTTTCTTGACAAATTACTTATTTGCTTCTGTTGCTTTGTACGGAATGCTATTAAGATGATTAATTAGATTTTCAATTAAATGTATACAATATAAATTTATTAAAATTAACTAATCAAATTGAAGTCACATGATATGAATTTGTTTCAATTTTGGCGAAAACATAATAAAATACTTGAAAGTATACAAATTTAAAACACTTATAACTTTTTATTAATAAGTTTTTTTAAAATTTTAACTGGTAATTTTATAGAATAGATCTTAATAAACAAAGTTACTGGTTTATTTTTATTTAAAAAATTCTTTTTAAGAAGTTAATAGATATTAAAATCACATTATATTATTTTTAAGTATAGACTTCCGGCACCATATAAAAAATAATTTTTATTAAAACTATTTTAAGTTTTATTAAAAATTTTTTTTAAAAAAATTAATTTAAATTATT